GTTTCCAGCACCCACCCTGGGTGGCTCACAGCCTCTTAGAACTTCCTTTAGCCCGGGTGGATCTGATGCCTTCTTGCTTCTGTGGATACTGTATCATGTGTGAAGACATACCCACACATAAAAGAAAAGCCTACCAGGATTAGATAGCCTTACCAAATGTTGTGATGTACCCCTCTGGTCTAGTATTCAGGAGGCTGAGGCAGGAGAATCCTGAATTTGAAACCAGCTAACTCTGTAGTGAGTTCCTATCTTAAAAAAAAAGAAAGAAATGGAAAAAATAAGTTATAGCCAGGTGTTGGTGGCACACGCCTATAATTCCAGCACTAGGGAGGCAGTGGCAGGCAGATCTCTGTGAGCTCGAGGCCAGCCTGGTCTGCAAGAGCTAGTTCCAGGTCAGGCTCCAAAGCCACAGAGAAACCCTGGCTCAGACCATCCCCCCCAACACACAAAAAAAAAGAGAGAGAAAGAAGTGTTATTTTTCTATTTTTTATTCAAACTTTGTTTTTCATTTCCCATTTTATTCCACTTGAAATTGATGTATATATATGTTAGGAAGTAAGGATTCATTTTATTTTGTTCTATCTTTGGGTTAACCTGTTGTTATTCCTGCATCATTTATCTCTCCTAGGTCCCCACGCTAGCCCTTTGACCATCTTACCTGAGCCTCTGCTATAGATCTGAAACAAATCTTGATGTTTTTCTTTGAGCCCTATTCCTATACCTACCCCTTCACCCTCCAACATACCTCTGTCACAAATGCCTTGGTTGTTCTTAGCTTTCTGTTCTTATTTGTCCTTGGTCCTGGTTTGTCTGTCGTGTTGTTTTGATAGAGTCTTGCTGTGACACTGGCATGGAAATTGAGCCATACGTAGCCTAGGTTGCTTAATTCTTCTGCCAACCAGCCTCTCTCCATTCCTCCCTCCTCTTGCCTTTCTTTCTTGCACAGACTTTCACAATATAGCCTAGCTTCCCTCAAACTTGTGCTTGTCTTGCGTCTGTCTGTCTCCTGAGTTCTGGAGTTACAGACATGCACCACTCCATCCTGCTCATTTCTTGACCTTCTCTACCATGTGTACATGGAGTAAAAGATGCACAGTTCTCCGTGGGATTCTGCCATCACTGCTTCTCTTTGTATCTCTGCCTCCTGTGTTCTTGCTCCAGTTGTCTCAAAGGTTTATAATTTTCTTCTGGTTTGTGTTTCTGCCTGGATCGTTTTAATAATACATAGTGTTTGTTTTGTTTCTTTTTCCTCTTGCTTGTTCATTCTGTTGAGCTGCTGCTTTTCTTTTCTTTTTCTTTTTCTTTTCTTTTTTTTTTAGATTATTTGAAATACAACTTTATTCTGATTCTAAACAAAAAGAATGGGAATGACAGTAACAAACAAGATTTCACCACTGACTGAATAATGCGATGTGACTGTAGCAGTCTTATTTTTGAAATTCAGGAAGGAAACAACTGTTCCAAACAGCTAAATATGCAAGTCCCCCCTCCTCCAAAAAATGAAGGTGTGTTTTAACTGCTACATTCATCCTGAAGCCCATTCATCTCCTTCAGCATCCAATGAAGTACACACACGCTGCACCGCTGACATCACAGGACAGTTGCCTATACAACTAGACTTCTGAGGCAGGGCTCCAGCTTCACTGTCTCACAGGTCTTCATCCTCATCCGGGAGGGCAGTCGTTCAGCAACCTCTAAATCATGCTCATACTGTGCTGCCCAAGCTGGGTCCATGACCATCTCAGGCGGGGCAAGAGCAGGCATGGCAGCACACTCCAAGTTAGGGTCTCCAATGAGCTTTCTGGCAAGCCAGAGGAAAGGCTTTTCAAAGTTGTAGTTACTTTTGGCAGAAGTGTCATAGTACTGAAGATTCTTCTTTTGGTGGAAGACAATAGATTTTGCCTTCATTTTTCTGTTCTTAATATCCACTTTATTGCCATACAATACAATGGGGATGTTTTCACACACCCGTACCAGATCTCTATGCCAGTTAGGTACATTTATTTTTTTTTATTTTTTATTTTTTTTGGTTTTTCGAGACAGGGTTTCTCTGTGGCTTTGGAGGCTGTCCTGGAAGTAGCTCTTCTAGACCAGGCTGGTCTCGAACTCACAGAGATCTGCCTGCCCCTGCCTCCCGAGTGCTGGGATTAAAGGCGTGTGCCACCAACGCCCAGCTAGGTACATTCTTGTAGGTGATTCTTGATGTTACATCAAACATTATAATGGCATACTGGGCTGGGATGTAGTAGCCATCTCGCAGGCCCCCGCACTTCTGGCCGGCTGTGTCCCACACCTTGAATTTAATAGGTACTCTGTTGGTATGGAAGACGAGAGGGTGCACCTCCACGCCCAGGGTGGCTACATACTTCTTGAACTTGCCCGTCAAGTGGCGCTTCACGAACGTCGTCTTCCCGGTGCCACTGTCGCCCACCAGGACGGGTTTGAACTGGACCTGCGGCTCTCCCTGGGCAGCCATCTCGGGATCCTTCCAGAAGACTCTCCACACCTGTCTGACTGAAGCTGGAGAGATGGAAGCGCGATTCAAATCGAGCTGCTGCTTTTCTTAAACATCTCAGGCACACAGTTTCTTATGTCTAGGCTTTTTTCTGACATAATACTCAAAGCCATAAACTTTCCTTATAAGTGCTTTGATAAGAGATAATGTTAAATTTTTTAGTCCTGAGTGTTTTGTATAGTTTCTCCTCTTGGCTCTGGTTGCTCTAGAAATATTTTTTTCATTTTCAAATATGTGATAATTTTGGCTTATGTGTGTGTGTGTAAGTACTCGTGTGTGCTTGTACACATGCATTCATGATACACCCGAAGTGGGCATCAGATTCCCTGGAGCTGGTTATAAATTGGCTGACTTGGATGCTGGGAAATGAACTCTCAGGTCTCCCTGAAGAGCACCAGCACACTCTTGACTTCTGAGCCGTCTCTCCAGTTCCAAGTCTGTGTTATATGAATGTGACTTTGTACGGTTGGTTCCATTAGCCTGAAGTGTGGTCTTCTGTTTTGAGTTTATCCATCTTTACTAAAGTCACCTTCCTAAATACTATCCTGATGTTCACTGAAAAGTTATTATTCCTTCCACTTTCTTTTTTGTTTGTTTGTTTTGTTTTGTCTTGAGACAGGGTTTTTCTGCGTAGCCCTGGCTGTCCTGGGACATGCTCTGTAGACCAGGCTGACCTCGAACTCACAAAGATCCGCCTGTCTCTGTCTCCTGAGTGCTGGGATTAAAGGTGCATGCCACCCCTTCCGGCAATGCTTTCAGAATACTCTTATTCTAAAACTATCTCCAGCTTGCCTTACCAGGTATAAGCTCCTGAAAATTCAGGTCATCATGTATTTCCTTTTGTTTCCTAAAAGTCTGCAGTATAACATTTAGTAATCAGCCTGATATCCATCAACAGTTACCAAACTTGAATTATGAAGGATTGGTTTTCACCTGGTGCTGTTTTACCCTTTCTGCCCCAGTGACCTTATTTTAGTCATCACACTCCTTGGGCAATGACTTCTAGCCCAAATCATCATGTCCCACTCTCTTGGCTAGTGTGGCTTAAGCATATCATGATAGCAAACGTGGTGTCATCTCCCTCTCCCACGCCTGTTCCTCTCACAGTTTTCAAGTTCCACAAAAGGCTCAGTTGTTCTTGTCACATGAAGCCAAGATCTTGGTGTGATCTCTGTCTCGGTTTTTGTTATTTTTTTTCCTTTTGCTCCCAGTCACAAAGTCCTATGAACTTTCTTCTGTAAAAACATTTCCCAACCCTACCCTCCCTGTGCTTCCCTTCACACCAGTCCTGGTTTCGGCTTCTGTGTAAGGGTCAAATGTCTTCACTGGCATTTGAGACTACCCAGCAGGAGCCTGTCCCTCCTGTCAGTCAGAGCTCTTCCTGTCTCTCAGGCACAGCTCTTCAGAGTGCTTCTCTTTCTTCTGTGTTCTTTCTCTATTCATCTCCTGTTAATTGTTCAGGAACTGGTTAATGGACTCTGACCTGCCTGTAATAAATTGTTAGTCACTTCATTTGCACTATTAGTGCATGTGCTTATTGTTTTCATTGAAGAGCTTTCTGAAAACAAACATCAGCAACATGGAAAAGATCTCAGAGCAAGAGAAGTTATCTCAAAAGAAAACTCACTCTGTCTATCCATCTATCTATCCACGGAGTACATGAGTACAATAAATTCTAGTACAAACATTTTTCGCTCAGAGGAGTTTCCCCCTTCCCCCAATAGGTTGCCACAACTTGTTTCCACATGTTTGTAGGTGAGGACCATACGAACGGCTTGAAGTCTGTGGCTTATTCTTTTCTTTGTAGAACCTGTGTTGGCTTTGGCTTTCGGCTTTTTGTTTGTTTTGTGTTTTTGAGACAGGATCTCACTGTGGAACTCTTGTCTGTCCTGGAACTTGCTCCATAGACCAGGCTGGCCTTGAACTCTCAGAGATCAGCTTGCTTCTGCCTCTGAGTGATGGGATTAAATGTGTGCTCCACCACTGCCCAAGTTGGCTTTGGTTTTTATTGTCCTACCGTTTGAAATTATATTTAAAGTTTCTTACTTTTACTCTTATTCTAGCTGACATGAATTCTAATGGAGCCTGTCTGTATGTTGGTGATATTTTCCCATAGCCCAAAAATCCTTAGCAGGGAGTACTGATGATTTAGTGAATGTTGCTATATTGTGTTTTGTGTTACAAGTGTATTTAATTTGTGCAGGTTTTTAAATTATGAGATAAATAGAAATGATAGTTTTAATTACTTTGTAATAATTTTTTACATGACACAATTTTGAAAATAGATATATTTCCCTGGAAAATATGTTTATATGAATGTAGTTCTAACTTCAAGGATATCAAATGCTTTAACTGTAAAAGGTGCTTAATCTTTAGTTTAGACTAAATGAAAATACATAAATTATATTTTCATGAGAAAATTTCCATTTTGGAGCATGTCAAAAGAATAAATGTAGTAATTTGAATGCTCTATTTTTATTTCTAGAAACCAGCAAATATCCTAGTAATGGGAGAAGGTCCTGAAAGGGGGCGAGTCAAAATAGGTAGGTAATTATTCCTAAGATAATCGATGATTACAAAGATGTTTTCCCCTTTTAATACCCTTTCTTAAGTTGTTGATTTTAAAATTATTTTCTCGGAGTGTTTCTAGAAAAGATGTTGGAAAATGTAGGTAGTCTATAAATCCACCAGTTCTTCCACAGCTTTTTCCTCAAAATAAAATCCTGTCATTCTAACTTGAGGCATCAATTAACAAGCCCCCGTAAACATTTGCTCCCATACAATATGACAAGTGTGTCACCACCATTCTCCTGCTTAGTAATCCTTCCCACATACATTGCCCTAACCCTAACTTAATGCATAGCAGCCGTCCCAGGTGATTCCCACCCCTCTGTCCTCAGCAGCATGTCATCCCTGTTGGAACAAATGCTTGTGTACCTCACACGTGTTTGTGCCCATTAACCCAGGCAGGAAGGGTTTTAGTGAACTTCGTTTGCTAGTGGAGCGTTGGTGCTGGAGGTGATGCAACCTGACTGCTTCAGCCAGCTTGCCCTGCTATTTGATTCCTGCTTCAGCATCTTCTACCCCAGTCCATTTCTGGAAGAAGCTGCTCTCAACTAGTAAACCTGCTTTGACCCTCTGCCTGATTGGAGTGGAACTGACCTTCATTGAAACTGTGTTGCTGTTAAATACCTGATAGTTGCTTTTCCCTTCCTGGTCCTTTCCCATATTTGTTTTTATTTTTTATTTCAACACTCAGGTTTTCTTACAGGCATTTATTAAAGACATACATTTTGCTCTGCAAAAGTAAAAAGGAGATAAAAGCTAGTCCCTCCCCATGAGAAATAGGCAAACATTTTACTGTGCAGTGTGGTTCTTTATCGTGTTGCCTCAGCCACAGAGCTGCCTCCTGAAGGTAGACACCGTGAAGGAAAACTGGATTTGCAGAGCTGTGCCTTGCTCACTCTCTAAGTGCCCTGTCCCGAGACTTCCCCACAGCCTCGTGTTCCCTCATTGGTCTCTGAACCTGCTAGTTCCCTTGTAGTCTTTAAAACTAACGGGTTTTCTTAAGGTCCCTGCATCGCAGCATTGTCACTTAGTTCTTCTCAGGCTCCTCCTGTTCCCTTAAACACTGAGAGTCCTCTCTCCATTTTAAACTGAATCTTACCTCTGCCAATGCAAAACATGACTCTTGTCCCCAGATGAAGAGAGAATTTATTCTGAGCCAAACACAGTGACTGTGACCTCTGAGCATGGATGGATTCAGGTTGTCCCCTAATAACTAGTTCCATTGTGGGAGCAGTTACAACCAACTTTTATAGTTACAGAACAAAAGAAAGCCATGTATCAAGGCATTGCCCAGATGCATGGGCAAAAGCATCAGGTAGCTAGACAGATAGCTGATAACATGATGATGGCATGGACAGATGGACAGCTCTACTGTGGATTTAATATATTATCTGATCACATTCTTAGCTTTTAGGTTGATGGAACCTCAAGGTCTGTTAATGGATTCTAGAGGTTTTATCTGATGATTGAAACAGACACAGAAACAAGGAATAACAATATCCTGAGATCACTTGGCTCTGGACCTGCAAAATTCCAATTTTCCACAACCGCAGAGTCCTAATCATTAGCCCTGTTGAACCTTTTAACATCAGCGTGGCATTTTTCTTCCGTTCAGTTCTCCTTCTTGGCATGCATCACAGTTTGTTCATGTACAGACTGGAGGTTGTTTTATGTCTCACAGTGCTGGGAAGGCTCATTTCTAGCATCTGATGAAGGTGAAACGGAGTAGGCAGGCTAGCAGTTGACAGCAGAGGGAGACTATTAGAATCACCAAGGAAGGAGCCACACGTCATGTAACATGTTAGCTGCCAGGATCCAGGTCAGATTTTTTTTTTTTTAATTGATTTTTCAAGACAGCTGTTCACTCTGTTAACCAGGCTGGCCTTGAACTCAGAGTTCTGCCTGCCTCTGCCTCGTGTGCTGGGATTAGAAGCTTGAGCCACCACTGCCCAGCCTTTTTTTTACTTTTTTGCCCTCTGTGTCTGACATGTATATTTGCATGTGACAGATAACATAAATATTATATGTAAAGTTAAAGTAATCAAGAACAAAGTACGATTAAAAAACTAAAGGTAGCAGATAACAGTAATAGGCATTTTTAACCAAATCCCCAACTCAAAATGACTCTTTAAGCTGTGTTTTTACCTGTGTCTATAATCATTTATATTCTATGAAATATTTTGTTTGATGTTTGGGATATATGGAACAATTTCTTACTATTTTAATTTCAGTGAAGTTTTTTATTTGTTTGTTTGCATTTTGGGGTGGGGGTTGTTTTGGGCCAGTTTGATTTTTGTAGTCATAACTTTATGTAGTGTGGCCAGTTTTTGTTTTAGGATTGGTTTTTAATGTTCATGTTATTTTAGGTATTATTTGTGATGTTTTTTAATTGTCCTGTTATTTTGGCATTGTACTGGAAACCCTGGGTAAATAAATGGGTAATAGTTACATTACAAAAGAAATCGGTTAATATTCTAAAATTCCTTTCAAACAACACTTTCCTTTGTGTATGTACCAGGTTTTACTACTGTCAGGGGTAGAAGCAAGAGGCCAAACCTGTGAGAGATCAGCATTTGTGGGTGTAATAAAATCTTATTTCTTATTTTACAATCAGAAAAGAAACTGGAATTCCAGTAAGTTATTACTATTCATTGTCAGAATAGGAGTATCATTTGGTAATTTTTAAGAATATTTTTGAAGCTGGGTATTGGTGGCGCACGCCTTTAATCCCCTCCAAAGCTACACAGAGAAACCCTGTCTTGAAAAACAAACAAAAAAAGAATATTTTTGTTTTTGTTTATTCATTGACAATTTTATAATTTATAAAATGTATTTTAATCATCTCTACCCCAACTTTCACTCTACCCAGATACTCCTTCAGCCCAACCCCCTCCCACCCTCATGTCCTCTGTAAAACCATGAGCACTGAGTGTGCATTTAGTGCCGCCTATATGCACAAAATTGTAGGGCTGTGTGCCTGACTCTGGACAACTTTCCAGTAGCCATACCCTCAACAATTAAATTATTACCCCCCCCCCAAGCCATCAGTTCCCTGGTAGCTTCTGAGCTAGAGGTGTAGCCCTGTGAGCAGTTCTGAATGCAGGCAGACACTGCTGTGCTTCCTGTGCCTAGTGGCCGTGTGTCCAGGAGGCAGCATCTCACAGCACTCCTCCCAATCCTCTCACGTTGTCCACCCCCTTGTCTGCAGTGTTCCCTGCATGACAAGGGCCAGTGTCCTGTACAGTGCCCTGAAGATTCATTTAATCAGAAAACATGCGTTTGAGGTAGGTAGGGTCTCTTAGATAGAAGTTTCTTCTTTGGGGAAGAATAGTTTTTATGTATTAAAATATGAATCATTTTAAAACTATGTTTCAAAATTTACTTTCAGAGAAATCTCCTTTGATGCTAGCTAGAATTTATATAGTTTTGATACCAACAACATGGATGTTGTTGCCTTTAGATACTGGTGCCTTTAGAATGTTGTACACTGTGAGTCAACTCAAAGCCATCAGGTATCAGTACAGTTCATTGTTGTATGTCGTAGGACTGCCCAGAGCCTTGAATTTGTTGTATCACAACAGTCTTATTAGAAATAATAACATAGTAATCCAAATGGTTGGACCCAATTAATATTTTTCCCTTTTTCTTATTAGGAGATTCTGTTGGTTTTGGCTCTAGCTTAGGTTTAAAATTGAGGTATCCCTAAAATAGAGTTCCTTTTAGAAAATAAATGTAAAGTAGGTCTCTGTCAATGTGAAGATTAGTTGTTTCTTTTTAAAGTTATATTGAATAATGAGATTTTTCTGTGAGAATATTTGTCATTTTAAACCATCAAAACTTGATTTAAGTTGAGCAAACACTCAAAATACACAATTGATAAAAGGATGTAGTGCTGTTGCCCTCTTTTGTAGTTTTACTAAACCAAGGTTATCGACTTAGCAGTTAGGAAAATACTATCTCCTAGACAGTTTTTAATTACTTCAACATGAAAGAGTGAGTGTTAGGAATGTTGTCTAAGTGGTTGCGCTCAGTTGCTTGGGGAACTCAGTTGTCAGCGTAGTGGAAGATGAGTTTGTGGTTGGTTCAAGTTTGAGGTGAGAAACAACAAATGGAAGAGTTACTTACCCTGTGAGGTTCTCTAACACAGAGGGGCTTGGGAATGCCAGGCAGGGTCTGTGAATGCATCCCAAAGGTTTTGCCTGATGCTTGAAAGGATGTTAGGTCAGACACAGACAAAATAGATGGCTATTAAGAGGACGTGAGATTGCTCAAGATAATTTGGTTCTAACTCTAAAAATCACAAAGTTGCATCAGTGACTTAGCCTGATAGAGTCTTTAAACTAGTTGAACTTTTTCTGTGCCACTTCAGTTCATGCCTCCATCTTGGATTTTTAGCATTTGTGTCCCTGTGTCCCATGTTGGTGCACCCCATTGTTTCTCTACTCCTAAGATAGCCTTACACTCTTTGGTTTCATTTATGGCAATTTGTTAGAATCTCACCTTGAAATCCACTTCTCAGTCAGACCTGTCTCTGAAAAGACCTGTGCCTATGACCTCTGCCTTCGAAGGTCCCGTGGCCCGTGTCAGGCACTGTTCTTAATACAGTGCACGGTGTCTCCTGAGGTGTCTGGCCCGAGGCTGTCTGACATTATGTGGTTGATTTTCTATCTTCAGCTTTTGCTTTTGCTTTTGCACTGTGCTCCTGTTGCTCTCATTAGCATGCCTTTTCAGGACACCTTCAGCACTGGCTTGGGACACAGCCTGCCTCTATAATTATTTCTTCAAAGATTTGGCAATCTATGATCTCAAATTTTAGATGTTACAAAATTGATTCTACAGTTTGGATGTCAGTCCTCTCTAGCAGAAGTCTTTATTGTTATTTGGCCCTCTTGGCCACCTGAGCTTCGTTGTATCCAAGAAAATTCATCATCATCTTCTTAGACTCTTTATTGTTTTTTTTGTGTCATTAACTATGTTTACCTTAGTCACTCAAATCTAGTCAACATAAAATTCTGTTCTCTGCTCAGGCCAGTTACCTTTTGTTAAGAATTTTAAGATTGTAGTTCTGTTAAAGATTGGGAATAAATTAAAATTTAAGCAATAAATAACAGTAATTATAATTAAGTTCCTTGTAAACTTTGTCTTAATGCCATGTTTGTGTGTGTATGGTAATCCACCACCATGCTGCTTCCAAAGCCCCAGAATCACTGTTTAAAAATAGTAAAGTGGGGGCCCAGGGCACTCATGGCATGATGCTTGCATAGCATGGATGAGACCCTGGGTTCAATCCCAGTGGTAAAAACAATAAAAGTCTACAGATGCCAAAGAGCAGCACAGTTGAGTGGTAAAGATAGACTTTCTGTCTCACCGGGTCCCACAGCCGTTTAGTCCCAAATAAACACTCTGAGGCTTATATTAATTATATACTGTTTGGCCCATGGCTCAGGCTTTTTATTGGCTCTCTTAATTATTAACCCATTTCTATTTATTTATTAACCCATTTCTATTAATTTAAGTATCTCCACGTAGTCTTGGCTTACTGGAGAATGTCTGGTGTCCTATCTTCCTGGTAGCTACATGGCATCTCTCTCTGGCAACTACTTCCCTGCCTCTTCTTCCCAACATCCCTAGTCTGGTAGCCGTGCCTAGACTTCCTGCCTGGCTACTGGCCAATCAGCATTTATTCATCAACCAGTAAGAGAGACATATATTCACAGCATACAGAAGGACATCCCCATCAGAGTGGTAAAAAGTACATTGTACCCTTTCCTCCCCAACAACCTCAGAGACCCCCCAGTGTGGTTTAGTACTTCAGAGGTTGAGATAAGAAGATTGGTGGTCTTGGGCTACATAGTGAGTTCCAGGACAGCCTGGGATCAGAGTAAGAATCTGTCTCAAGAAACCAAAAATATTTAGCAGTCCTTATCCAACATTTCTCATCCCTCCCTATCTCAAAAGACTTAAATTTCAAAATCCAGCTCAAGTTCTGTTTTTTCAAAGTAGTCTACTTCCACTGTGTTTAAAAACACCCTTCCGGATGGCACCTTGAAGGAGATGGAGACCCTCCCTCTGTGGGACTTAGCATGTGTTAGAACCCAGACAGAACTGACTCCTGTTACCTGTGTGTATCTTTGTGCTTCTGTCATGCAGATTTGTTGGGTCTTAAGACTCTGGTGTTGCTCCTTGTCTGTTGTTAGATGCTACCTAGTTAGCATCCACATATCCACACAGGGTTCTCTGTGTAACCCTGACTGTCCTGGAACTTACTTGTAAGCCAGGGTGGCTCCTGAGTGCTGGAATTAAAGGTGTGCACCACCACCTCCTGGCTCACTCATCCATTTAATTGAACAGCTCCACATACATTGTATTTTAGAAAACAATCAAAGCCATGTTTAGGTTAGCTATGTTTAAATTAGTAATTGTTTGAAAAAGCTCCTGTAAACTTCATTCAGTAGAATGGAATTGTACTTATTTTCTTCTGGCCTTGGCTTCACTTGACAGTGAATTAAACAGAATTAAGAGATGGAGCCAGGCACGGTGGCACATGCCTTTAGTCCCAGCACTTGGGAGGCAAAGTGAGTTCCAGGCCAGCCAGGGTTACATGGTGAGGCCCTATCTCCAAAAATAAATAAATTACTTATTAATTTTTTAAAATCTAGGTAAGAGGTAGAGAATAACAAGAGAAACATTTGCTTTTGCCTCTAATATAAAATGCTTTTTAGTGGGCAAAACAGCATCCCATCATACATTTCCATTATCATATTTACCAACAATAGTAGCTAGCATCTGTCACTCGGAAGGTAGTGCTTTCAGTGGTGTATCTTGTCATGATAATAGGTGTAATATTGGTAAAAGTATTGACTGGCTTTGTTTGCACTAGAGAAATTTAGTTTTAAAAGGATAGGCATCAGCATGGGTTTCCTTGGTTAATTTATTTTTAAGAACTCAATTCTCCAAAGCAGTCTCATGTTCTAATAAATACATATATATATATATGTGTGTGTGTGTGTGTGTGTGTGTGTGTGTGTGTGTGTGTATAATTTCAAACTCCAAAGAAACAATATAATCAATTATAATTTAATGCATATTATAGCATACTTAGTCTCACTAAATGATCCATTATAGTTACCTGCATTTGTTCTTTTTATAGTACCCAAGGTCCCTTACACACTCAAAATGTACTGTGTATATTCTATATTTTAAATTATAGAGATTTATCATTCTTGTGACTCTGCTTTTGTGATTTATAATTAACATGTGTATAATTTATTGGATGTCAATCAGTGCTTATGAGTTTAGTACTAAAAGGCTGGTTGGTGTACCTAACTTAGTTGAAGTACCTAACTACAAGTATAAAAGACCTAAGTTCAGATCCCTAGCACCCACATTCGAAGTTAGTCTGTTACACTAGAGCTGGAGGTGTTGGAGACAGACGGACAGCCAGTCTTGTGTGTGTGTGTGTATGTAGCTCAGGGAGAGATCTGGTCTCAAAAACTAAGGTGGTGTATGACTAAATTTTCCTGGGGAAACAATACACAATTGTCTACTCACCCTAGAGAGGGAGCTCATGACAGAGCAAAGTAGGGTACCACCAGAGACCAGTTTTGTGATGGGTGAGGGGTTACTTACAGGAATTTAAGTGAAGGGTTACTTAAAGGAGCAGAAATGATTCAAAGACAGATGTATCACCAAAGCTCACCTCAGTACAGGTAACAATTCGCAAAAGCTGGAAACCTGAAACATAACTGCAGAGCCCACAGGCAACTCAGCAGGTTGGAGAGTGTCTTTTCCAAGTGACTTAGTTGGTCTAAACCTTTTCCAAGCAGTTGGGCTGGTCTCTGCTTCTTCCAGGCAGCTGGTCTGATGTCTGTCTTTTTTGCATGTTGGTTTGCCTGAGACTTTCAGCAGTTGTTACTGTGATCTTTGGGAAGGAGGGACATAGTGAATCTAGTCAGTTTCAGGGACTTCCTGAAGCTGTTTTGAAACCAGAAGTTGTTTTCCTTCTGGTTCCTAACAGTCCATCCCAGTAAGGAGCTTCCATGCTGTGGGATGGATTGTTTCAGTTTCTCAGAAATGGCTAGACAACACAAGAGTGATAAAGACACCTAATGTCAACCTCGCCTCCCACCCCATACACACAAGAAAATGGCTACTAAATCAAAACATGTTTGAGTACTTGATATTCACGTGAGCATAGACAAATAATTTAGTTGTTTTTGGCTTTAAATTCTTCATCTCAGAGGTGAGAAGCAAAGTACTAAACTAGTGTTCTTATGAAGGTGGAACAGATGTATAGGTGTATAGATGCCATTTGTAAGGTGTCTTATAGATGAAAGGTACTTCTTATTTAGGAAATCATAAGAAAAGATCTCTAGAACCTTATAGTGACAAGTACCCCCTAATACTTAGCTTTTGTTTATATCTTTGTTAAATGAATTACTATAACAATTATCTATATGTCTTTTAGCAATTATCTACTATATGTTTTATGTGTGTTCTTGGGGTTGTATATGATGGGCTGTTACAATCGTCTTTCTAGGAGAAAAGTCCCAGTATGGTATTTTCTGTTTTGCATGTTCTAATTGCTTCCCTATAGCCAATTCCACATCTCCAGTCCGCTGTCACTGAACACAGAGTTGGGAAGGGATGCGTGTAATTCAGCCCTCCTGAGTTTGCAGCAGCTGATTTCAGTACACAGTGAACTAAGTGGTGTGTGTAGTTAGTTCTCAGTCTCTAAACAAGGGGGCTTTTAGAAGGTCTTGACTGCACCTGAAAGCCAGGGAGCTGCAGCTGAACTTAACTCTTGTGCGCCCAGGGGTCAACATGCTTTTAAGCTGTAGTTTTCTCGTCAATAAAGCAGATGGTGTGGAGGTAAACAATGCAGTTCCTAACCAGGGTGCAGTTTTAGAGCAGGTGTCCACCTTTGAAAGGCTAGTGGCAGTTACCAACCCCTGCATGGCTCTGAAAGCATGTCAAATTGAGTTTTGTACATCTGTCTTATTTTTCAGCTGACATGGGTTTTGCCAGATTATTCAATTCTCCTCTAAAGCCACTCGCTGATTTGGATCCAGTGGTTGTGACATTTTGGTATCGGGCTCCAGAACTTTTACTTGGTGCCAGGCATTATACAAAGGCCATTGGTAAGTGTTTAGGTGGTTGTGACAAGCTGAGCACTCCTAAGTGTGAAATAGTTCCTACTAAAGCCAGTGCTTATAGAAGCAGGCATGTGTGCACCTTCCTCATGAAGAGTTGGAAAGGGTTAGAACTGTCTTCACAAAGAAAACCAGCAAAGGAGTGTGATGTGGAGAAAAGCCCCCCCTCCCTGTGTCCTAACCAAGACAGGGTACATCGTTTCATCTCTCTTGATACCATGGTCTGCATAATGGCAGTTTGCCCATTAAGGTAGGAAATAGAGTCTCGGTAGGATTGGGTTGCTCAACAACTTGCCAGACCACCAAAAGGAGAAAGAACCAGAGAAAGAAAAGTGGTCATAAACGTGTTCCTTGGGATTTATGATTTTCTTACACCGGAGACTTTGGGGATTTTACTGTCTGACCACATAGTAGACTCAGCTAGGGATAGGGAATTAGCAGGTGAGAATCTCCCTCGGCGCTGGAGAGAGAGTAGTTAAGGAGAGAGTAAGCCGTGGCCAGGTCCGGGGTTTATAGTGCTTGTGTCTCCAGAGGACTTGTTTGCATATTCCATACTCCTTCTTTTTCAGAGCTCTTGCCATAGGCAGTAGCAGCTTGATCACCTTTCGCTGCTATTCCAACTGTTTAACAAGGGCACTGAGAGTGGAGTGTTACTCAAAACCCACAAGAAACACAGTCCTGATTCTGGTTAACGAGCTTCTGAAAATGGCATGGCACTCAAAGCAGTGCAGGTGCTGTCCTGTACTTGTGGAGAGGCAGTTAGCCTTGTAATTAATCCACGAGTAAAAAGCAGACACGTATTACAGTGCCTTCCTCACCAGGTCTGACTTCTTCAAAATCAGATACTGCGGCATAGTGCTGAAATAGATATTAATATAAGTATAAATTAATAAAAGTCAGTATAAACATAAAATATTCATAAATTGCTAAACGTTTGCAGAACTTTCTGAGTGGTCTCACACCTTGGGGACAAGTGTGTGTGACTGGACCTGTGTCCAGTCAGATCAGGCTGCTGAGACCATGCCATCAGTAGAGTGCCTGGAGAGGCCTCAGGACTGAGAGCTAAAAACTAGTGCAGCTCTTTTGTATTCTGACCTAATGGGTTTGCTTTTCTTGTTATCTAGGTCTTTCCCTACCAGCTCTCGGGAACAGTCCCTTAGATAACCTCAGAAGGCAGCAGAGGATAGGAGGGGAGAAGAATTCTGAGAACGTGTGTGTGGGTGAGGGATGTCAGTTGGAAATTAATTGATAGAACCGTACAGTAAGCAAGATGGCATATAATTCAGGGCATAGGGGTGTTCCTCCTCTGGCATGGCAGCATGTAAAGTGATCTTGTCATCTACGTTCATAGCTATCCTGGGACTCAGGCAGCTCAAAGGGTGCACATGCCTGGTAGAGATGTGGGACAGAAGCAATCCATATGCCCTTGGCCCTCACCTACAACTGGTGCAATATATAAAAGGGAGATTTCCCATTAAGGAGAGAGATGTTTAGCTAAAAACATTTTTTTCTGCCAAAATTGTTTCCCACTGTGACATAAACACCATGACTGAAGCAACTTATAAAGGAAAGAATTTCATTTTAAGCTCACAGTTCCAGAGGGCTAGAGTCCTTGACAGTCTTGATGGGAGGAGCATTCTGGCAGGCTGGTGCTGGAGCATTAGCTGACAGTTCACATCTTGGCCCACAAACGGGAAGCAGAGAGACCTAACTGGGAAGGGCAAGGGCATTTGAAACCTTAGAAAGCCCATAGTAGTGACACACCTCCTCCAACAAGGGCACACCTCCTAATCCTTCCCAAACAGTTCCACCAACTGGGGACCAAACGATTTAAATATGAGCCTATGGGGGCAATTCTCATTCAGATTTCCACACCCACCAAAGTTCATGTTACACATACAAGTCCCTGGTTCTGCTGTGTGTCTACACACTGGGGAGCAAACTTTTTGAGAACTACAGTTGTAGGATTTTTCTTTCTTAGCTTCCCTCTGCTGTTAAAAGGGAATAGATGCCGTGGGTTGTTGTTGTTGTTGTATATTTGTATGTTTTTAATAATTGTAATTGGCTGTAAGTTAAAATTCAACTATTCCTTTTTGCCTTGTGTAAGGAGAACTGAAATTAAATTTTCACCAGCTTGCAGCTTTTTTTCTCAGTTAGAGAGATTGACCATTTAAAATAAAAACATAATTACTTGCCAGGCACTAATTCCTGCAATGCTAGTACCTGGGAGGAGGGGACACCATGGCTATAGGGTTTGTGGTGCTGGCTTGAGCCTAAGCCTTGTGTTTGTGCCTTCAAGGCAAGCACTTTCCCAGCTGAACTACATCCCTAGCTTCTGTATGTTTCCTCAGTGTGCTTATTATACTTTACATAGTGCTTTACTGAAATATGTTTTTGTATGTATGGTGGAATCATATCCAGGAAATGTAACTAAGGAAATGTAATGCATTTGTATAAAAAGTTGTTTTTCCCTTCATAGATATATGGGCGATAGGCTGCATATTTGCTGAATTGTTGACTTCAGAGCCTATTTTTCACTGTCGTCAGGAGGATATAAAAACAAGCAATCCTTTTCATCATGATCAACTAGATCGGATATTTAGTGTCATGGGGTTTCCTGCAGGTAATTTGTTGCCCTTTCAAAATACTATTTTGAGTTATATTTCAAAAGTGTTCCTTTGTAAGAGCATGCATAAAGTTTGTTGTATGTTTATTTTTAAACTAAAAGAATTAGGAGACTTTTAATAAGATACTTTTCTATTAAAATTTTTTTTTAAGATAAAGACTGGGAAGATATTAGAAAAATGCCAGAGTACCCAACACTTCAAAAAGACTTTAGAAGAACAACGTGAGTAATTCTGGATTACCACAGTCCATGTGTGCTGGGAAAAACAAACGAAAATCTGAGATAAGTAATTCCCGAACACCAGGAATTAATTTTCTGATAGTTCCAGAGGCTGGAAGTCCAAGATGAAGATGCTGTCAGGCTTGGTGTTTATCTGTCTGCTCTCTGCTTTGAAGAGTGCCCTTGTTGCTGGTGGGAGGGCAAAGAGTGGGAACTGTGTAATATCTCTCCTTCTAAGATGTTAATGCCATTCAAGGATGCAGAAGCCTCCATAACCAACACCTTTGAAGGCCTCCCTCCCTTTGATACTTACATACTGGGGATCAGATTTCAGCATGAGTGTTGAGAGTGATATAAATACTCAGGCTCATTAGTTATAGAGTGTAGCTTCAGTAGGAAAAGTTAGCCCTTTTCAAAAAGGATATAGATTTAAACCAGCAATTCAGGTGTTAGTTGACCTTCATGTCTGTAATTTAAAGCATATTCCAAATGATTTTAACATATATATCCAATTTAGGGCTGTGATTTTTAAAAACAAGGGCCAGGCCTGATGGCACACATGTTTAATTCCAGCACTTAAGAGGCATAGGCATGTGGATCTCTCTGAGTTTGAGACCAGCCTGGTCTACAGAATGAGTTCCAGGGCATCCAGGGCTACACAGAGAAACCATGTCTCAAAAAAAAAGAAAAAAAAGAAAAAAAGAAAGAAAGAAAGAAAAGAAAAGAAAATAGAAACAGTTACAGTTTTAACATATTAAAGGTCTCAGTTCAATACTAGAGCTGTGGTTTTATTCCTGTCTGAGTAATGGTTGATGACCGAGATGCTGCAGTGGGAAACTAGGACAGATGGCAAGGAGGAGCCATATGGTCCAGGATCTGAATAAAGCAAACTGTGTATGTTGAGTAGAGGCGAAGGGAGTGCAGAGGCAGTAATAAAACCCAGGGTTCTATAAGGAGCAGAACTGAGGGACAGAGAGTGTTTGCTTTGTTAGATTGCCTTATAGGATGTAGTCCGTTAGTCCAACGATTGGTCATCTCATAGTGGAGAGGATGAGAATTGGGTAGTTGTTCAGTCTGCAGGCTGGTGACTGTCTCAGCAGTCTCAGTCTGGAAGATCCATGGAGAGCTGCCTGACTTCACATCGGCATTCCAAAGGAGTTGTTTGTAACACTGGTGAAGAAACAGCAACAGTAACAGAATAGGAAGACTTGCCGTTAAGAGTGAGGACAAGCAGGCAAAAGCAGTTTTCTTCTTCATGTGTTTTTATCTGGGCTGTCACCAGGGAGATGTTGCCTGCATTTGGGGCTGGGCAGGGCAGGGCTGGGCTGGGGGGGTGGGGGCTGTGTCTTCCTGTTTCAAATAATCTGATGGAAGGAAATTCCTCACATTCCCAGCACCTCCTTGGTAGCTCACAAGTGTCCATGACTCCAGTTTCATGACGTCTTATACCTTCTTCATGCCTCCAATGGGCACTGCATGAGCATGACACAGAAATACGTGTGGTCAAAATGCCCATACACAGGAAATAATTTTTAAGAAAAAGAAGGGACTTGAGAGATGCCCTTTTAGCCTCTGCAGAAAAACACCCATACACATTAAAATAAATATATAAATAAAACTAATGGTGATAGTAAAACCCCTCACAGGAGTACCACAGTTTACCACCAGTAAAACTGAAGTTTCCAGTTTGTACAGCTTACATGTCCCTTGCAAAGGCCAGGGAGGTGGGTAGAAGCAGCAGGAGCCTGGTGACCTGAATGTGGAAAGCTGGGTGTGATGTCCCTCTAGCCCCTATGTGTTGGGGCACATGTAAACACAAATATGTCTACCTACCTACTTACACACAAATGCATGTCTTTTTAAAAATGTACCAAGCTTGGGACTAGAAAAGTATTTTAGATTTGAGGGTTTTGTTTTTTTTTTTTTTTTCAAATTCCAGAAGTGCTTTGGATTTCAAATTTTGAGGTTAGCTCACGGACCTGCATATATCACTCAACATTTTACCCATTTTTAAATTCACTTATTAAATTGCTGTGATCATTTGGATATTAAACTGCTGTGATAGTTTGGATGTGATTGGCCCTCATAAAGTCATAGGGAGTGACTCTTAGGAGGTGTGGTTTTGTTGGAGTAGATTTGGTCTTGCTGGAGGAAGTGTGCCACTGTAGGGATGGGTTTTGAGGTCTCGTATATGCCCAAGCCACACTGACTGCCTCAGTCCATTTCCTGTTGCCTGCAAGATGTAGGACTCTCAGCTACTTCTCCAGTACCATGTCTGCCTGCGTACTGCCATGTGCCACCATGACGATGGACTAAACCTCTGAAACTGTAAGCAACCCCAATTAAATGTTTTCCTTTATAAGAGATGCTGTGGTTATGGTGTCTCTTCACAGCAACAGTAACCCTAAGATAACCGCCAATGGAATCTCAGCCTGAAATAGAACCCCCGTCTGCCCTCTTAATCCTAAACCTCTGTGCCTTATATTTCATGTCCTAAGAAATGGCTCCATGATTCACCTAGTTGTCCAAGCCCAAGGCCTCCTGTTTCACTCTCATGCATTTGACTTTCCCTTACCTCTCCAAAGGATTAGCAGAGCTGCTCGATTCCTTTTTTCTAGAAATGCTTGGAATCTGTTTCTGCCCATCAACCTTGCCAGTATAGTTAGAACAGCGGCGTGCTCTGCTTACAGTTCCGCAGTGGCCTTCCTGTAGTATTTCTATCCCTGTTCAATCTGGGTGTGGTAGCACATGCCTTTAATGGCAGGCTGAAGAAGTCTGATCTCTGAGATAGGCCAGTCTGGTCTACATAGTGGAGCTCCAGAGCAGCCAGGGTCATAATAAGCCCCTGTCTCAAAACAAAAACAGCAGCAAACAATAGAAATCACTAAAGCAAAATATGTTGAAAACTGCAATCTAGAAACTACTTTATTTCAATAAAATATTATTTCAAAAGTAAAAGAATATTATCTTGCTTTTATCAAAAATAAAGAACTTCCAAAATACTTTGCAAATTAATTGCTAAGAATGACAGTAGATTTTTTTTTGTAACTGTTCTAAAGTGTCAGCTCCAGGTAGCTCATTAGAAAACAAGGCAAGGCTAAGGGAGTCAGGCTGTTCACTAGAAAGATGTTTGGATTTAGTCCTCAGCAAGCCAAAGAAAAAGAAAGAAAGAAAACATTTAAAGGAGATCATTGAATTTACTTTGAAAACCTTCATGTTCAAATAAAACACAATTTGATAAATACTTAGAAAGTTTATGTCACTTTGGAAACTGTTCAGCCCCTAGAAGAGAGTTTAGAAAGTAAACAGTTTATCTTAACTCCAACACAAAGAAAAAAATAAAACAGCTATAACCAAATATTCCTCAGTAAAGTGAATTCAAGGATTTCTATATGATTGAGACAACCTAGCATCTAGTGTTAACTCAGGAAAGCCGCTGATTGGGCAGAGAAGCCCTAAGACAGGAAGAGAACGATTTCTCTTAAAAATGCAAGGCTTCTTCCTATTACCAAACCCAGTACCTACCTTGTCCATCAATCAGGGTACGGTAAAGTGGGCACTTGGCTTCTGTTCTTCTGTGAGAACAAGCATTTGGAGACTTACTACAAATGCAGCTGCTGAACTGGGTGCTGGGAAGCACACCCTGCTGTCCCAGATACCCAAGAGGCTAACCTGGAAAATATAACAAAATCCCATCCCCAAAACAGGGTTAGAGAGATGGTCCAGCAGGTAAAAGCACTGGCTGCTCTTGCAGAGGACCCTGGTTAGGTTCCCAGAACCCACGTGTTAGCTCACAACCATCTGTAACTCCAGCTCCAGGGGATCCAACAGCCTCTTCAGCCTCTCAAATGTAGGGCTTATACATAAACATGCAGTCATACATTTGTACATGTAAAATAAATATTGCTAGGGATATGTAGCTTGATGGTACTTATTGCCTAGTAGTATGTGTGAGGCCCTAGGCTTGATCCCTAGCACTTTGCAGAGTAGAAAGCAAAAGGGTCACAGCAACAAATATACTTCATAATGTGTACATTTGACTTGATCATCCCAGGAATTTAGCCTATGAAAATCAGGCTGTTACAAGGTAGTGTTAAGTCCTTTATGCTCTTGTTAGGGAACAAGTTTACAGGGCAGGTACAGTTATAATCCACTTTTTCTAATGAGGATCTAAATCTTCATAGATGTTAACCTATGCTCAGGATTACACAATGGAGAAATAACCAAGCCAGGGTCTAGTAGCAGTCCCCGATTCTCATACGACGTTGTATTCTTGCCATGTGTGCCAAGTTAGCCCATAAGGGCATACATTTCATAGCTGTGATGAAACAGCTCCAGATAAGTAAGCAGTGCAGTTACTAAGAACAATGTTATAGAACTTTGATAAAGGAAATATTAATGAGACAATATTAAATTTTTATACTGGTTCTAATTTTATCAAACCAAAGCAAAATACTCCCCCTGATCTTACCGTGTGTGTGTGTGTGTGTGTGTGTGTGTGTGTGTGTGTGTACATAAAGCAAAGTCCTTTGGGAGCCACATCTACTCTGAGGCATCTCATTCTTGCCTCTGGCGTCTCTCTTTCTAACACCTTTTTGGTCTGAGGGTTTTGTCTTGGTTTGGTTTTTGAGACAGGTTTCTCTGGCTGTCCTGGAACTCACTGTGTAGATCAGGTTGGCCTCGGAACTATATAGATCCGCCTCCTAAGTGCCGGAATTAAAGGTGTGGGACACCACCACCCACCCTATTTAAACAATCTTAAGCACCACTTCTGCTTCAAAAATAAATAAATAAATAATAAAAGAAAGGAAGATTATCAAAACACTGACAATGGTTTCTATTTTTATATATGTAGAATACATATTTTTTATATTTTAAAACCATTAAAATTTAAAATGTTTCATATGTAGGAAGTAGTGTTATAATGTTATATACTTAGAATAATTAAATGAACATCCCTCCACTGGACTTCACCAAAGAAGTAGCATGTTACTAATTACTGATGTCTCTAGGTACCTCCCTCTTTGTTCCCTCCCAGAGGGAAGACTGGGCGTTCTGAATTTGTATTTGTGATCCCAAAGTTTTATTGTACATGTATGTATCTCTAATACTTATTAGTTCGATATGTCTGTGATCTTTATGTAAATGGTGTCATTCATCTTCCCTGTTCAGTTGTAAGGATTTATAACATTTCATTTACTCTGAATATATTAACAGTTGGTTTACCTGGCATTTCTGCTTCTTTAATAGGTGGATATTTGGTTGTTTATATGTTGGTGGGTTTTGTTGTTGTTGTTTGGCTAGTAAGAATATTCTCATATGTCCGGATACTCACATGTCAAAGTGTCTCTTAAGCTAGACCTGGTAACAAAGGTTTGTGATCCTAGCTGCTCAGGAGGCTGAGACAGAAGGGTGGGTTCAAGGCCTGCACAACTTAGTGAGACCTGTCTTAAAATAAAAAGGGGGGAAGGTGGGAGAATGACACTCAGCTGTAGAGCACTTGCCTAACATGCATGACCTACACGCCATCTCCGGCACTGCAAAAGCAGAAACCAAGCAAGCTGTCTCTCAGATGTGAGTGTATCACAGCAATTGCTGAATGTCAAGATATTTGTATTTTCATCTCTAATGGTTATACATAAGCATTCCCAACATGACCATGGCACTAAAAATACTGAAATACAGAGATTAACAAGTGATTTTCATGTCATGTCACTATTAAATAATGTGCTTGCACCTGAAACTGCTGCCTTAGAACTGTCCTTTAGGAACACAAATCATGTGGGCTCCTATTGACGTGTGCTTGTGTCCTTGCAGATATGCCAACAGTAGCCTCATAAAGTACATGGAGAAACACAAGGTCAAACCTGACAGCAAGGTGTTCCTCCTGGTAGGTGCTCCCCACTGACACCAGGGTGTTCCTCCTGGGAGGTGCTTCTCTCCCCCACTGAAACCTGGTCAGCATAGCTCTCCTCTTGTCCTGTTTACTGTGGAATTGTCCCAGCTAGTCTTCCTTTTGAAAGAGAGAGGGAGAGAGAGTTTAATTAATTGTTGGATGCTTTAGAAATTAAATATCATTCTATTGAGAATCATCCTTGACTTCTAGTCTTAATGTCTTACATGATTCATGTCAGAAAAAGACTTTTAAGGGGCCTTAATGGTCATTTCATAAATGTGTGTAGAGTACTAATGGTGCAGCTGGATACAATGGTGTGAGGGCTAGCAAGATGGCTCAGTGGGAAAGGGCACATGCCGCCAAGTGTTGACAGCTTGGGTTTGACCCGAAATTCCTGGGACCCGTTTGAATGAACTTACTCTAAACACATGGACGCGCACTCACGTGTGTGCGCATCAGTGTGTAAAAGATGTATTTAATGGTTGATTATGTCAGACATTAATACAGAAGTCAGGTAGGTGACTTGTCAGCAACCTTTTCATGTACTGTCTTGTTCCTTACTTGTTGCTAGCTTCAGAAACTCCTCACCATGGATCCCACGAAGAGGATCACCTCAGAGCAGGCTCTGCAGGACCCTTACTTTCAGGAGGACCCCTTGCCCACGTTAGAGTATGTACCGTTCCTTTTCTCTGGTCTTTTGTTTCAAATTGAAGATGTTGGCTGCTGCAAAGTGCTGGGAGCACTTGCCTGACATGTTCTGCTTTGCTCATGACGACTGCACAGAGAAAATTGTTGACAAAAGTTTCTGTCCCACTTGGTCCTACAGCTGTTAGTCCCAAATAAATGCACAGAGGTTTATATTGATTATAAACTGTTTGGCTGATGGCTCAGGCTTCTTATTGGCTAGCTCTCTTTTAATTATTAACCCATACCTATTAATCTATGTATTTCCATGTGGACGGAGAATGCCCAGGGGTCCTACCTTTCTAAGTAGCTGCATGGTGTCTCCTTTTCAACTTATTCTCTGAATTCCTCTTCCCAGCATTCTTCTAGTCTGGTAGCCCCACCTATACTTCCTGCCTGGCTATATGCTGCCTGACCATTGGCCGAAACAACTTTATTCATCAACCAGTAAGAGAAACATATATTCATAACATACAGAAGGACTTCCCCCATCATAAAATCTCCTCAGAGAAAGGCTGCACCAGCTTCCTAGATGAACCCCAGAGCAGAACAGGTGAAACTCAAGCACCAGGTTGCAAGACGAGAGGTTAACCGATGGAATGGTGCACGTGACAGCCTGCAGACACCTCTCCCCCTTCCAAACGTGTGCTCTGGGCTTGTATATATTAGAAACACTTTTTCCCCCCTGGGTGGGAGACTTGCTTTCATGTTGAAGCAATTACAAAGTCAGTTTAGTTTGATGCTGATGGAGTTCTGTGTCATTCGTGTGAGCCTGCTGACGGTGACAGTGGCAATCAGGCATATGGGGACTTGCTCCTTCCTTACTGCTTAAATTGTTTGGAATGTGTCCAGCAAACACCAGCCACAATAAAGAGTAGGATGTAAGTTAATAAATAATAAAAAGTAAAATTTTAAGGTAAGGTGATAGAATTACAGATTTTAGGTATTGACATGTATTTCTTTTAAATGGTTTTAGTGTGTTTGCTGGCTGCCAGATTCCATACCCCAAAAGAGAGTTCCTTAATGAAGATGAACCAGAAGAGAAGGGTGATAAGGTATAATCTTCCTGCATCACTGACTTGGAGAGCGTAAAAGCAGCACAAGGATAATTGAGGGAATAATTTGGTGATCTCTGTGTGTTCGCCACCTTTTATCTAACTCATTTTTACTTTGCTCTTTGTGGAGGTTTGGAGGCTGAAGATGTACTATGAAGTTTAAACTGAACTTCCTGTTTTGTCTTAGCCCATTCTGTTCCTAGTTCTTCCTAATTTTGTTTGTCCAGTGTCATCTCCACCCTGCTTTGCTTTGTGGGCATCACTCCATTCCTTTATGTCACTTGAGTATATTAGCCACTCCCCACTGCTCTGTTTTGCAGAGCCCTGACTGAAAGGACTTCTAGTTGCTTTAAGGAGTGTGATGGCATTTCCAATGTGCCTTGTGGTACCCACTGAAATAAATGTCTGTTTGATTTGGAGATGCTGCATGCTCTAAATGAACTTCAGAGAGTATTACTCTTCAGAGATCACTATGTAAATCTTTGGGAATGGTGTATTTTGGAGGTTACCCATCCCTAATCATTCTAGTCAACTCATGTGACCAGGTTATACCCTAGGTATGTCACAGTCATGGGTGTCAAGTAGTGAAATGAATTTCCCATTCATCTGGCTTCACAGTAAAATTTTGGATCTTTCTCTCCCCTGCTCCCCTTCCCCTAAAAGAATCAGCCACAGCAGCAGAACCCACATCAGCAGCCCACAGCCCCCCCACAGCAGACAGCAGCCCCAACACAGGCCCCTCCACCACAGCAGAGCAGTGCCCAAACCAATGGGACTGCAGGGGGAGCTGCCGCCGCCGCCGCCGGTGCTGGAGCAGGGCTGCAGCACAGCCAGGACTCCAGCCTGAATCAGGTGCCTCCAAACAAGAAGCCCCGGATTGGGCCTTCTGGTGCAAGCTCAGGCGGGCCTGTTATGCCGTCAGATTATCAGGTACTCCCTGCCTGCTCCTTTCTGATGGGAATGCATTTTATGGAATGGGAAATTGACTTTTAAAAAATCCTTTTAGATTTATTTAAATAGTTCTTAGCTCCAAAATCTGATATGAAAACTAGATATTTCTAGGCCGGGCGTTGGTGGTGCACACCTTTAATCCCAGCACTCGGGAGGCAGAGGCAGGTGGCTCTCTGTTAGTTCGAGACCAGCCTGGTCTCCAGAGCAAGTGCCAGGATAGGTGCCAAAGCTACACAGAGAAACCCTGTCTCAAAAAAACAAAAAAAGAAAGAAAAGAAAAGAAAACTAGATATTTCTGGTGTTAAATGAAATCCCGGGAAGATTTTTAATCACTTTTCATGCAGTCATGAGGTATTTTGTATTGTGACTTGTTTATCATGGACACCCCAAGGAGAGAAAGGGAGGCAGGAGGCTCCTTAAAGAAAATGTCAGTACATCCATGTCAGCCACAGACTGGGTAAGTGTCTTACTCGGACAAAATCAATAGCACTTAGAAAAAGATCTTGAGAAAAATTGTTCCTACTGGAGGAAATAGTCAGTAGCCACATAGACATGGGAGATGGATGATAAAGGCTGAGCAACAGTTCTCAGAAACAATTGATGTCAGACTAAAGTTGTTTTAGCACTAGATAATACTTTGGGTGTAAAGACAAAAAGGAAATTAGCTGTACTACTAATTTAGGAAACTAAAGGAAAAATACTTTCCCTCACATCTGATTCTTGGATTTATAAGGAGTAAAGTATCTTTAGATTTGTTTTATTACACTCTTCAAAATTAAAAAGCCATTTTTAACAGTGTCATGTTTTGTTTTTGTTTTTGTTTTTGTTTTTATATTTGATTCTGAATTACTTACACCTTGTTTTATTCAGCACCAGATTGAATTATTCTGTGAGGAAACTCTGCCTTGTTTAGTTTCCATGTATGGGGTTTCAATATAAGCAAGTATGATGAATACTTCAAAAAAGGAGCATGGTATGGTGGTTCACCCTGGAATCTTGAGCACATCAGAGGATGAGGCAGATAGACTGTGGGGAAGTCCCAGGGCCAGTCTGGCCTATGTAGTGAGTTCTAGTCAGCCCTGCCTTAAAACAACCACACACACACACACACACACACACACACACACACACTCACTCACATACTCACACACCACAGACACACACACACACACACACACACACACACACACCAGACGAAGAAGAAAAGGATGTGCATTTTTTTCTCTATTGAAAAAGAAAATATTGTCGTTAAAAAAGTTGTTTTAGCACAAGGTTTATCCTAGGCTGAAAACTTGTCTGCTGATCTCTTGAGACCTTTGCTGTAAGCAAACTGCTTTATTTAATTTTTAGGTGGGAAGTAGGATTTATTGGTGAGAATGTTCGTTTTGAATATTACCTGAAGTTTATAATAACTATTGTTTACCAAATTGTTTTGTTGTCAGATCTTAGTCATGTAAAAGGTTAATCCCTTCTGCCTGTTTTTAAACCAGTATAGCTCACCCTCCCCACTACACAGCCAAATTCAGTGCCATCCAGGGTACTTACAGCCTAAGCTGCTATTTCAGATAAGCAGAACATGTCAACTGCTATGGATCTGAGCCAGGAGCCTTGGGGTGAAAGTAGCTAATATCTCTGTCCCAGTATGATTGGCATCTTGAGCCTTTCTCTGCAGTCAGTCACCCCCACTTCCTGTTTTGTTTTGTTTTGTTTTGTTTTGTTTTCTAGCACTCCAGTTCCCGCCTGAATTACCAAAGCAGCGTTCAGGGGTCTTCCCAGTCCCAGAGCACACTAGGCTATGCCTCATCTCAACAGAGTACACAGTACCACCCTTCTCACCAGACCCACCGGTACTGACCCGCAGCCCACAGCCTCTGCTCGGCCAGGACAACACAGCACAGCCTCTAGCAGGGTGGTATATTTGCATTGCAAAGAACCCCAGAATGAAGACTGTGACTCCACACAAAACTCTCAGACACTTGAGAGGAAACCTTTGCATACTGAGTGTTTGGAAGAACTAATATCTCTTCTTCATTGACTTACAGAAGATCTTGTGACGTGTCCCCAGCCCTCTTCCCTGCATGAATTCCTCGCTGACTCCCCGATGAAGCCTCTGATCTACCCCAGCACTTCTGCAACCCTTCAGCAGCTTCTGAAGGAGTTTCTGGTGCACCTTTCTCATGCTGTAGCAATCATTATTTATCTTTTCTTAGGACTCAGTGTTTTAGGAACAGGGTTCCGTGGTGTATAGTTTTATACTTCATGAACTGATTTAGCCACACAAGTCAAATGCACCTTTTAAAGCACTACACAGTCTTCACAGACTAACTGCTTTGCTCTTGGAAGTCTTAAAAAGAAACTGTTACTGTCCCAAAGTACTTTACTATTATGTTTTTATTTATCTCTTTCAGGGAAGGTCTGGTAAAAGACAGATGTGGGGCAGAGGGTACCCACAACCAAAAACAGCGTCGATCTTTGCAGCTGCCATGCTTACGCTATGAAGAACTGTAGTAGTTGGTGGTTTCTATGTACTTGTTCATGTGGAACTTAGTTCCTAGAATCATCATATTCTGAATAATATTCAGTAATTAAAAATTATAATTTTAACCTTCATGTAGCTAAGTCTACTTTAAAAGGGGTTTCAAGAGCTTTGATGGAATACGGTCCTTTGGGACCCACCTGGGAAATCTGAAGAGACTGTTAACTGCACTAGGACTTCACCAAGGCGTCATGCTGATCAAAGATAGCTGTTTCCCTCGCAGGAAAAGCTTCTGCGCATGTATCATCGGAGGCATTGGTTTCTCCAAGGGAGATGTTGATTCCTCAGTCTCCACATCTGGGTCAGCATGAGTGACTTTCTTACATAATCAAGGATACTCAAATCAAAGCCTGTTAATTCATCCACAGTGTTTTCCATTTGTATTTACATTAGGCATAGAGTGGCTATTTTTAAAGCATGTTAAAATTTTAGGTTTTATTCATGTTCAAAGTATGTATTATGTATGCATAATTTTGCTGTTGTTACTGAGACTTAACGCTGTCAAGGATCTTTTTATTGCACTGAATGCTTTCTTTTGCCCCTAGGAGAAAACTTAATAATTGTGCCTAAAAACTATGGGCAGATAGTGTAAAGTAGATGAGGTGAATATTTGCATTTCCATGATCTACGAATTAGAGGGGAGTTCTTTTTTAGCTACTTTTAAGGAATCCCTCACCCTCCAGAGTCAAGAGGAAATGTAAAGGTGTAGAGCTCCCATTGTAGTGCAGGGGGCAAGAACATCTACGTTCTGATGCTACTAGCAGCACCAGCCTTGTTTTCAATGTTTCTTGAGCTAGAAAAAGTAGCCAATTGTTGTATATGCAAACTATATGCATTTTTAAAAACTATTCTTGTGAACTTATCTACCTGGTTATGATACTCTGGGGTCCATATTCAAGTAAAATAAGATTTTTGAAGCCAGTATACATTTTGCACTATTGATGTGATACTGTAGCCAGCCAGGACCATACTGAGTTCAGCATAATAATGCTTTTAAGTAGTAATAAAGGTTGTATGGTGACAGCATCCCAAGCCTGAAGAGGAAATTGTTGAATGCTTCCCTGGGAAGAGTTTCTGACTGGCTCCATGTATTTTTACCCCTTATGTGTTTTAAAATAAGAATCAGCCTCCTGCATAATGTAGCTACCTATGTAAAGTTCTGTCTTATGCCCTAGAGCCTCTGTCCAGGGCCACTACTTCCTTACCACAGGCTCAATGCTCTGTGGGGTAGAAAAACAAAGAACAAGACACATTCCTTTTTACAGCCAATTCAGTGACAATAAGCTCATATGGGATGTCTATGCCACTTGTAACTGTCATGTGATATATGAAGGTCCTTTTGTTTACTTCTGAACCCACTTGGACAACTATGCTTCTGAATTTATAGTAAACAGTGTTATGGGAAGCAGGTATGAGGCTGACCACTAGAGGAGAAAGCCAGTGAGTAACCGTCACTAAAGGCATCTATGCATATTTGAAATGTTCACAGCAGCCTTCAACAGCAACTGGGTGGCCCTTGCAAACAGAGCACATTCTACCAAGTGGTTGTAGGAAATCACAGAAAATAAGCTCTGTTCTTGCCCTTGAGTGAGCTCACATTTAATAAAAGACATTAGCCTCAGTTTGTGTATAAAACAAAATACCAACAGCTCTTCGTACAAAAACTGGATACATGATTCTGGCAGTATGCACTTAAACATTCACAGGACTGGCCTGGTAAAGCTGACACACACAGGGTACCTTGTCAATTGCTTCCAGTGTAGTGTTTTCCAGGATGTAGCCAGCCAGCTCCATTCTGAACACAGCTGGGTTCCACATCACTGCACTGGTTCTGACCCTTTGCTTTTCTCTTCTTGCCTCAGGGTTGGTGATGCATACCTGTGCCCAGTACTCTTAGAAATAACCTTCATTCATTATTTCCTTTCTCTATAAAGGAAGCAAAGCTTTTCTTATACAGTAGGCCCATAGTCCATGGGGTGGGACCTGTGAAACTTTTTAAGGGTAGAATTTACCTTTGTGAGCCTCAAATGATTACATTCCTCTTTGAACATTTATTAGATACTATTTTGTCCTCTAAGAACATGGAGGCATCCTCAGACTTACAAGAACCTCGGAGTCTAGGCCGGTATTGAAGGATTGAGTTGAAAGGTTTCTGTTCTTTTAATTAGAGGTCACTTTTAGAGGTAGCTTTGCATAGGGGTGTTGGGAGAAAGGAGTCAGGAGGTTGGGACAGACTAGCTTGAAGTCAGGTAGCTTGAGCCTGGGCTGGTAATACGAGATTGAAGCAATCCTTTTGATGAAGTAAACCATGAAGTGAGATGCAGAAATCAAGGACATGTTTATTTTTATATCTGTGCTTTTGAGACTTTAAGACTTAGAATTCTGACAGTCTGCACTATTTCACTCTAACATAAGGGATGCCTTTAAGACAGGAAGGGATGGCATCCACACGCATACATGTTCACTGTCTCATGCCTGGTGCAACAAGTTGCTAGTTGTTCTCTGTGCCTCTGAAATGATGCTCTTTTCGTCTCTAAAGGGAAAAGGAATTGGAGAGTAAGGTTTGCAGTTTGCTTTGCTTTTGAGTTGTTAATATGTAGCCGCAGCTATACACTGAGGAAGACTTGCAGGGAAGCTATGTCTCCAGCTCAGTGCTGCTCCGTAGGAGACGGAGAAAGGCAGTAGATAACCATTGGGCTTAATGGAGGCTTGAAGGAGTCAGGTACAAGTCATAATTTTATACAAAATGTAGCAATTTAGGTCCCCATATCAGCAAGAATAGTTATGAATATCATAACCCCACAGGTCAGTGTTCGAGGACTTTGTGTTGTACCCAAGGAGGTACTTATTCCTCTAAGCTGTTGCCAGTAGGGAGTGCTGCGTATGTGTTATACGGGAAATTACCTAATGCACTGTTATCAACTATAGTGAGTAAATTAAGACTATTTAATTTTTTTAAAGCTTTGTCTGGGTAGACACTAAAAGCATTATACAAAGCCAGGACTGAGGTGTCCTTTTTAATAACAACTGAAAGTACTTTTTATATATGTTATACAGTATGTCCTTTCTAAACTAGTTTGTATTTCTGATAATCCTATTTGTGAAGTGTACCTGTCTATCTTTTTTGGTCATTTTCTGCACGCATCCCCTCTGTATGACCGTAGATATTGCCATGGCTCTCCTTGCTCTGCTGTGATGTGTATACTCCGAGCCTGAGGCCCTCAGTAGCCCGTTCTGGGGATGCAGGAAGTATTGCATCCTCAGAACTGAGGGCTTCCGCTCCTGAGTTACCCAGCCATCCTTCTCAAAGTGACTGTTCCAGCTACAATAAGTTACATGTATTTTATATTCTTGGTTGAAATAAAATTTAATTAACTTTGTTTCTGTATGGATTATTTTAGGAATAGGAAAACTTTTTAAGTTAAAAAGTATTTATTTTGCACATATGTGCACATGTGCATAGGCAGAATAGTTCTGTGTTAGGGTTCCTATTTCTGACCCTGACCAAAAGTAACTCAGAGAGGAAGATGTTTACTTCATCCTACAGGTTATAATCAAGGCAGGAACCTGGAGGGGTGCTGCTCATTGACTTGCTTCTCCTGGCTTGTTCAGTCTGCTTTCTTACAGACAGGACCACCAGCCCCTGAGTGGCAGTGGCCACAGTGGGATGGGCCCTCCTGTATCTATCAGTCATCAATCACAGAGAGTGCACCACAGGCTTACCCACAGGCCAGTCTGGTGGAGGCGTCCTCCTCCCAAGAGACTGACTTGTGTGAAGTTAACATACAGCCAGTCAGTACAAGGCCAGAACACAACTTTGAAGACTTGGTTCTCTTCTTCCACCATGTGAGTTCCAGGGCCTAACTCAGTTGCTGGGCTTGGTGGTGAGTGCCTTGGACTGCTGCACTCTTTCGATGGTCCCCAGAAAATGCTTACAAGTTTCGTATTTTGTTTGTTCGAAACAGGGTCTTACTATGTAGCTCTAGCTGTCCTGGAACTTGCTTTGTAGACCAGACTGGCCTCCAACTCAAAGAGTCCCCTACCTCTGCCTCCTGAGTGCTGGGATATGTGCCGCCACCACCTAGCTGCAACATACTCTTCTTATGTCACAAAACCACAAGAACAAATGGGACTTGCATATGACTTGGAAGTGAAATTACAGTTTTCTAAACACCTCTTAAGAGAAATATCTAGATATTTATAAAGAAAACAGCATTTTTGTGAATGGAGTTGGGTGGCAAGAGTCTCCTTTTGAAAGGGTATTTATTCTGTTAACCTGGCTGGCCATTCAGCCTGCCTTCTGAGGTCACTGCAGTAGTCAAAGGCATCATGGAGTGAAGAATGTTTTAAGTGGCTTAAATAGACCGCTGTTCTTTCTCTATAAAATAGACACTGCATCCAACTTGACTGTTACCCTATAGGTGATTGTGCATTTGGCCTTGTTTTAGGGTTTCTATCGCTGTGATAAAACACTGACCAAAAGCAATTGGGGAGGAAAGAGTTTATTTGGCTTATATAATCTGGGTTACAGTCTATTAAGGGAAGCCATGGTAGGAACTGAAACGGCAGGGACCTGGAGGCAGGAGCTGATGTTGAGGCCATGGGGAAGAGCTGCTTACTGTCTTGATCAGCCCATTTTCTTACAGCACCCAGGAACACCTGCCCAAAGCTGGGCCCTCCCACGTAAATCACCAATTAAGAAAACGCTGAAAAAAAAAAAAAAAAAAAAAAACCGGGCGTTGGTGGCGCACGCCTTTAATCCCAGGACTCCAGAGGTAGAGGCAGGTGGATCTCTGTGAGTTCGAGACCAGCCTGGTCTACAAGAGCTAGTACCAGGACAGCCTCCAAAGCCACAGAGGAACCCTGTCTCAAAAAATCACAAAAAAAAAAAAGAAAAGAAAAGAAAATGCTGGTCTTAGTTCGAGTTTCTATTGCTGTAAAGAGACACCATGGTGATGGCAACTTTTTTTTTTTTAATTTTTTCATGATGGGGTCTCTGTAGTTATGGCTATTCCGGAACGTGATCTGTAGACAAGGCTGGCCTTGAACTCACAGAGATCTGTCTACCTCTGCCTCCTGAGTGCTGGGATTAAAGGTGTGCACCACCACCAGCCAGCTGACACGGCAACTCTTAAAAGGAAAGCATTTAATTGGGATGAGTCGCTTACAGTTTCAAGAGATTCAGCCCATTATCATCATGGCAGGGAGCATGGCATGCAGGCAGACATGGTGAAAGCTACATCTTTATCAGAACAATGGGAAGTCAGTCAACTGACACACTGAGTGGTATCTTGACATAGAAAACCTCAAACCAGGCCCCCACAGTCACACTTCTTCCAACAAGGCCACACCTACTCCAACAAAGTCACACCTCCTAATAGTGCCACACCCTCTAAGCTCATTAGGAACCAATTACATTCAAGCTACCACAATGGCCCACAGGCCCATCTGGTGGGGCATTTTCTCAATGGAGGTTTTCTCTTTCCAACTTGTGTCAAGTTGACATACAGCCAACCAGCACAGGTCCTATGCTACTTGTAGGATAGATCTTTCTTTGGAAAGCTTGGTTTGCTCACCTTCCTTTCTCAAAACCATCTGGGTAAGAGAACATGGACTGAATGGGCCCTTAACACTCCCTAGGTAACAACTAGAACATAATGTCCCCTAGAAGGCTCCGTTACTTGGTCACTGCTCCAAGGTTTCAGGAACTTACAGCTGACATGGTACATACCCAACACAAAGTAGGTATTGAATGTGGCCAGTCAGTAGCATCACTTGTCTACTTGCATAGAAATGCCAAGTTTGTATATGGACAAAGCAAATAGTTTTGATGGAAGCAATTTTAGAGATTGCTGATTGTGGGGTACATGCTGTTGTGGCCTCCTCAGTCACTCCATGCTTCCTCTTTGCTGTCTGAAGCTGAATCGGTAACTCTGCCCAAGATGGCCATTAAGGCTCCCGTGAAGGCTTGGCCTTTGTAGCCAAAGAGGATGGGTATTGGTTGGTCAAAATGAAGGCAATGGGTTTTGGTCTTGGCAAAGTTGATTTAAGCATGGGTGTTTAACCTACCAACCAATATAATCTGAGGCAGAGTCTTGTTGGCTGGGCAGGGGTGGGGGGGACAGACTCGACAGTTTCTAGGAGGATTTGCTTTGAGCTTAAGAAGATTAACAGCAACGTCCCCTTTCTACCTCTAGACGCTTCTGAGTGAGAAGCTTTGACAACCATATGAGGACCAGGAAAGGGAACCAGCCTCACAGGACAAGCTGTGAGGACCAGGGAGAACAATGGAAAGAGATGGAACCCAAAAATACAACATTAGATCAGGAAATTGACCACCCTGAATCTGCCCTGACTCTGGACTTTATTGAAAGATTGTATTTTTTTTTTTTCAAACTCCAGCTTTATTTGGGCTTTCTGGTATTATCAGTCAAGACCTCCAGCTCTGAGAGATTCACCTTAGTGTTAAGACCACAGAACCCCTGCAGCATGTGTCTGGAATATTCATTGTCTGAAAGCCTTTGCAGATTACAATGAGTGAGTGTCTCTTCCCATATTCCAAGCTCTGAGACCTCTAGATTTAAATGAATGACTCTAATATTAGCATGTTTAGTGTCTGTAAATTAGAAAATGAAACATTTATTCCTTAGTAGTAGTGACAGGCTATGATGATAAATAGTACTTGGTGCTCTGACAATAAAATCCCTCGATGCCTCAGGCCTGCATGCACAACAGCCCTGGGCCCTCCGTGTTTTCTGTGCAGGTGTCAGTGTCTGGGTTGGGGCTCTTCTCTTTGCATTCATAAGCTTGCAGCAGTCCCCTCTCCCTCTGCACTAGAAGAGGATCTTGCCCTCTGCTTTCCAAATCCTGGGCTCTGAAAGTACAGTGAAAGCCTTCCCATACACCCTCCCTCCACCACTCAGACTCCACAAAGAATCTTTCTTAATAATCTGTGATAGATATCAGGTTTGATACCCATGATAGGCATGTAGTTTTTTATCTGCCTTCACTCCCCTGCCAATTAATAAAAGTAGTAAGAAGGTAGATGGTTGGGTTAGGGAGATGACTCAGTGGCTAAGAGTGCTAGCTTTGCAAACATGATCTAAGTTCAGATCCCAGGCCCCATGTAAAAAGCCAGGCATGTCTACATATGCCTGTAACCCCCAGCATTGGGTAGATTCAGGATACAGCCTAACCGAAACAGACCTTCGGGTTCAGTGAGAGACAGTGTCTCAAGGCAATAGGAGAGAGCAATAGAGGAAATAGTCTGTGTTCTCCTCTGCACATTCATGTACATGCACCATACTACACTACTCTGGGGCACCTGAAAAGAAACATTCCTGAATGAATTGAATGGAGTCTTTATTAACCACTGGAGGGGCTGTCCCAAGCAAATTGAAGGAAAACAGTCTCGACCTCCAGTTGATTTGAGTTTTTAAGGACAAAAAAAAAAAAAAAAAAAAAAAAAAATACAATTGTGACATAGCCCAAAAAGCAGCTCTGGAGAGAGAACAGTCAAATGGTCAGGCACTTAGCCTTTAGCTCAGGGCCACATTATGGAGGAATTTAGGGATGGTCCAGAGATGAATTTTACCCAAGATAGTTTTTGCACTTACAGTATTCTTAGAAATACGAACACTTTCATGAGATGGCATAACTATAGTTCACTGGCCCATTACAAAACCACATACATTGTCTAGGCCTATAGTCTTTAAGCCTGTCCTAGACTCCACACCCTTTTTATAATAAATTTGTTAACAGTTATGTAGAACCTGCTTTTGTTAAAAATCATGGACTCTTGAGTCCACAAGGTAAAGGAAGCAGGATCAAAGGGTAGAATGGTGGCCTTCTTTTAGCCCTGGCTCCTTTACTTTGGCACAGACTCCTGCTTGATAATCCTCCTAGGAGTGTCTGCCTAACCTATATCATACTCCTTGAGGCCATTGGTATAGGGATAAGTCACTATCTTTCACTGTCCCTTTGAGTTCTGACTCCAGTAACAACAGGACAAACCACCCTCCTTACCTCCAACCCCTTCACCCCAAGATTACTGCTAATGATGGTGGAGCTATCATCTGGGCAGATGGTTTTATAGGAACCAGACTGGCCTCCTGGGAGGTGACAGCCCTACTCAACAATTTATGGAACTACTTTGCAATATAGAGCGAAAAAAAAGTCATGAACCACTTAACTCTTCAATATAGGGCTCAGTCTGTGCCTTTGAGAATTCCCAGAAGTACTGACCCCACCCACTCTAGGCTGGCAGTATACCTAAACCATTAGTTAACCCCTTAAGTCCCACAGACTTCTAGAAGGCTCTTAGAGACCTTTACTAGACATTTAGATACCATTTTCCTGAAAATCTTTGGCTCCTCACTTA